GGGCGCTGAGTAATTTTTTTTCTGAAAAGGGGGCGGTAGGCCAAATAAGTTTGGGAACCTCTGGACTAGATGGTCAGAGTATTGCATCCAGTTTTGGGCCCCCCACTACAGAAGGGATGTGAACAAATTGGAGAGAGTCCAGCGGAGGGCAACGAAAATGATCAGGGGGCTGGGGCCCATGTCTGACAAGGAGAGGCTGAGGGAACTGTGCTTATTTAGTCTGTAGAAGAGAAGAGTGGGGGGATTTGATAGCAGCCTTCAACTACCTGAAGGGGGGTTCCAAAGAGGATGGAGCTCGGCTGTTCTCAGTGGTGGCAGATGACAGAACAAGGAGTAATGGTCTCAAGTTGCAGTGGGGGAGTTCTAGGTTGGATATTAGGAAAAACTTTTTCACTAGGAGGGTGGTGAAGCTCTGGAATGGGTTACTAGGGAGGTGGTGGAATCTCCATCCTTAGAGATTTTTAAGGCCCTGGCTGGGATGATTTAGTTGGGGATTGGTCCTGCTTTGAGCAGGAGGTTGGACTAGATGACCTCCTGAGGTCTCTTCCAACCTTAATCTTCTATGAATCTATGAATGGTCCATTCTGGCCTTGGAACCTATGAAACTGGGCGGGGGGTGGGGGAGGAGTTGTCATGGTATATTTCACAGGAAGCCCCATATTAAAGTATTGACTGCGCATCACCACTACCTATTAATGCAAGAGCCCACTACGGTCTTTCAAAGCCAGGGACAATTAGATACCAATTTGCTTCCCGGACAAGGTGAAATTCTCCCTTGGGCAGTGGGACCAGCACATGGCCCATATGTGGCTTAGGTCCGTTAAACAGTACTTAAGTGGTTCATGGCCTTGTACTGGGTCTCTGCCCTGGGACGTCATAGGGACGGTCTGTGACCACTGTAGCAGGAATTGAACTGAACCTATAAAGATCTTTTCAGTGTTTTATTCCCATTTTTTCCTGAGAGAATTCACTCCAATTTTAAAAGCCGCTGTGATCCTCCAGGCTGTCCCCTGGGATAAGGGAGGTTTGGTAGAACATCAGGAATCCAGGCTTGCCCCCTACATCTCTTTCCCAGCTGCCACATGGCACTGGATAGCTCTTAGACCAGCTGTTTGATCTAGACACCTTTCCACTCTCAGGCTGGGCTTTGCCTGCCGCCCTGACACAGTTCATTCATCACAGGCTTCCAGCACTTTAGTCAGAGGTTAATTCCCTCCCCCCCTCCCCTTTGGCCCTTCCTTATGGCCCTTTCCAGCTCAGCGTGGAGCAGCTTCCTGAAAGCCTCGCCCAGCGCCTTTCGTTGCAATGCCTCTGGACACAGAAAGTTAAAGGAGCAATCTGTGTGAGCTGGAGCTGCGGGAAGAGCTGGGGCAGGAGCGCCCTCTGCCGCACCAGGAGTTGCTTAGAGCTCTCCAGGAATGGATCCTTTTCACAAGGCCCTTGGTGCAGCCAGTGGAAGAGAGATGGAGGACTTTCTTGCAGCCCCCGGGGTTGCAGTGACACCAGGGCTGGGAGCAGGGCAGGATGCTAGTCACTGCGGGGGGGAAGTCTCTGTGTGACCATTCTAATCTGTAGATGCACCTGCTTAAACGTCTCCATGCCCCCAAAAAGTGGAGTCTAGAGAAAACAAGGCACAAACCAAGAACTTCATACCCAGGAGCTGCTCCCAAAGCAGGTAGGGATACTTCCTTATTCCTCTGCCTTCCACAGGCAGCTCCTTCCCTGCCGC